TTTCTATATATACAGGTATAGTCGGCGAGTAGCAAGTACATTTAAATAAAACACGTCCAACGGTTAAAGACATGTAATATCTTATTACTCCAATTAAGTCCCCCTGCGACCACGGCTGCTTCAAAGCATCCAAAACATGGGGTGGTAGTTAAAATATATTAATAATAAGTTTATTTTTATTTTATTGCGCATTTAAACTGTTTAAAGTGATTTACGAGTATTTAAACTCTTTACAGTAACTTAAAATTAAGGAAAAACATTTTTGTCTGTTCTGGTGGGACATTAAATTTTTGTGTCTTGCTCGCCGAAATCTTAATTAAAATTCCAACCAGGAGCTTATTGCGCAATATTAAATAATGGGCTTAGCAAATAAGTCACTGACGGCAATGGTGGTAATGAAAAATACATAACAATGCCTGTCTAGTAAATTTTTATTCGCATTTTGTGGTCTATATTCTTTGTTTTTAATGCCTTGTTTAGTTTTCCATACTGTAGAGTGTAGACGTATGTCATATCATAACCCGAAAAAATAATTTAAGAACTTTGATTATTTATCTATTTAATGTTGTTCGACATTTGATGGATACATTTTGTTAAAATACTCGTATATGTAAGATAAGTTGTAGAACAAATGTGAGCATTTCAATCAAAAACGTTAAACGGCCTTATACAAACGTATCGATCAATTTTAGGGTTCTTTAGGAATCAAACGCGTAGGTTTCATACTTTTTAATGATGTATCATTTAGAGGCTCGACTTTCATAGATAAGTAGCAGTTCCTTTTGATGGCTTAAATATATTTTCGAGCTCGGAAAATAGGTTTTCCTAATGACATTTAGAAAGTTGGAGGTGAAAGCATTTTTCAGGGAAGATTCTTCGTGAAGCAGTGTCGCGTCGCGATTTTTTTGTGTTATACTTTGTATCTTAAGTTGTATAGTTTAAATGATTTGATTAATTTGATTCAGCATTTTAAGGAAACCATATTTAAAGATACTTATTTGTTTTTAATTTTCTGATGAAAAAGGCCATGGAGTTTAATCGTGTTTCGGTTTGAACCAATGGATAATCGAATGAACACAGTCAAGATAGGTCAAAAGCATACCTTGATTATCTGTATTTAAGTGAGTACACATTTAATTATAAACACCTTATTTACAAAATGTTTCAACTGCGACCCGACGTTTGGAATGCTTTGCAGCAGCTGTGACCGCGATGTGAAAACTGTGTAACTGTAAATAAGTTAACTAAATTAATTTTGTAGTTTAGTATATTTCGCGTTTGAAAAGTTAAATATTTTTAAATGTTATGGCAAATAACTTAAAATGAAAACTAACGACACGGGCCGGACTTGAACCGACGTCCACAGCGTTTAGCGTTGCTCTTCTCTCTTCTACTATATACCAAGTGGTACCATAAGTTGAAGCTGTACAAAACCGAGTTACTTAATAAATATTTTAGAACATCATTTTATATAGCAGTGGATTGTACCCAGCGGTCTAACCTACCCGCGTCGTCCGCTTCGGGTTTTACATCAAATCATACAAACATTAATCATTGTAAAAGATACCTTCTCTCGGTTTAATATTTTTAGTTTTCGTTTTGAATACTAAAGGTTTTCTATTAAACTTCCTTCGAGTTGAAACGAACAGAGAAACATATATAAATAATGGCGTTTGAACGACATTTGTAAAGCATGCGTCTACCCAATATTCCGCTTATTTGAATGATTATCACTATTTTGCTCATTAAACATTAAAAAGAAACAGAAATAAATATAAGGACGTGAACTACTGTCTGCAATTTACGAGTAGTACACAATTAAATTAAACACTTTAACGGTTTACACGCGATATATACATATTAGTAAAACTCATTTGTAAATTATTAACTACGTTTCGGATTCCAAAACACAGCATACCAGCAAACGCGAAGACACCGTTAGTCAATTCTGCAAGGACGCGACCAGTTTGTCCAAATACCAACTTCGACGGAACAGATGGCGCTAGCTATTTAAGTCGTCAATCATACCTCAATAGTACTACGGCTTTGAAGGGTTCGTTGGCGTAATGGTAGTAATACATCGTGGGTCGGGGGTTCAATTACCGCCGGATTATCTGGTTATCTAGATACTAAATGGCTGGTAGGATCGAAATTCCGTCCGCGTCACGAACCAGCGTTCACATAATAAAAAGCCGTCGAGTTTAATTGCGTTTCGGTTTCAGTGTGGATTTCCGAATATCCAAAGCCAAAATAGGTCAACGGCGCATCTGGTTTAGATGCTATAGGCTGGGATATTTCATCTACCATCAAGTGAACTCAATACCACGTCTATCCTCCTCTATCCTTAAAAAAGTAATTAGGTCCCTTAGGTGTAAAGTGAGCTCGGTGAAATCTAACTCTCCTTTTGGTTGATTCAGTATTCTGTGCTGTCTAAATCCCGATAACAATAAACACGCTAAACAGTGTGTTCTGTTATTGTAGGAAACAATTCAGAAGTCGACTGGGAGTTTAGCAAAAGTAATTTCATGAGTTTTAATTCTGATCAGAAGAAGTTTTTGGAAAACGAGGTTTTATTTAGCTTCCGTTTTTATTAAAATTTATTGAAATCCCTTGATAAAATCAAATTTATATCCAGTAAATATAAACTAGAGACAAAATCTAAGTAGAAAATTATATCTTAAATACGTTTTAACTTTTCCAATATTAATTTATTCATGGCTTATAATTATTAAAATGTATTAGTAAATATTATTTATAATAAATCAATATGTATAATATTTTCTTTCTTTTTACCAGTATGTTTTAAAATAGTTACTCGCGTTTACATTGTTTTATTTTTTTTGAGTAGATTTTTTGCTTATATGACACTGTTTTAAACTTATCATGTAGTATCTTGTAATAATTAGTTAATAATGATATAAGCTATTATATAAATTATTTATATGGAACCTTTTCTTATAGTAAAGAATTTTGAAAGACGATTTCTATATAATATAGACCAATTTGTATCAGCTATTTTGTTTACTAAAATCCAATCTCTCCTGAATAAATAGCGGTGCGGTTTTTAAAAATCAATTCACCTAATCCCGGATTAAAGACATTTGTTGAAAACCAACAGAAAATAAATCTTACTTTATGATTAAAGATGTCTTTGACATATTCTTCCAAAAATCGACTTTATTGCAAGGGAAAATATGGTTTTTCTTACTTTATTGCGATAATAATACGTAGAGAATATATAACTTTGATATAGTATATTCAGAATATGATGAATACAATGAGATCTAAAATAGGCTGTATTCTTTTAGATTAAAAAAAAAATTGATATGGCTGGGACTCAAACTCACGTTTTGTTATGGCTTAAAGTAATTAATCTATAGTGTATTTTTTTATCTTGGCAAAAGACCACAACAAATATGGCCGATGTGAAACCATAGAGAACTTTTACCATCTTTTATAAAGTGAATTTGTTGCCAAAGACGACACAGGCTTAAAGAAATATTCATTTATAAGGATCAAATCACGTCAATATTTAAATCACTTTTATGACGTTTCTTTTTACTATTTTTTATGTCATTATTATATAACTCGGCGTTTGTAACGCTTTTCAGCGATAGTGCATGAGTGGGACTTCACCTTCTATTATTGTTGACTTCGCCTACGTCCCATCCTTATATAAATATGAAAGTAAAGAAACTTTAATCTGTGCATTTGCGATAATTCATTTGCAGATTTTTTATTAATTTCAGTGTGAGATTTACGGGTTCGAATTGAAAAGTTCTTCTTGTGTCGGTTAGAGCATTTATCGAGGAAGGTTATAGGCTACACATTGCGCTGTGACTAATAGGAGCGAAGATACAGCGAGAAATGTGAACAAAACGGGAGAAATTTTAAATCTCTGTAGGTTTCAGATGCGAAAGAATGATTTCCCTTTAAATGATCTAAAAAAAAATCCGCGACGCTATATATCTTTTAAAAGTTTCTTGCTAGAACGACGGGACGCGACCGACGTCGTGAGCAACAGCTTAAATTCATAAAGATAAGAAGGTTTGCAAAGACAAATTTTGATACCGAAAATTACTAGTTTACGCGGACGAAGTCGCTGACACAGCTAGTTTAATATATAATCCAGTGTCTCAACGTGTTTTAGTGTAAATTAATATGAAAAAGTCATTCCGTGTAAATCGTTTGTTTATCAAAGTTTAGGAAAAATAAAATACTTTAATATAATAATTATTCAAAAATATCTGTGTCATTGAATTATTTTTTTAGTGAATTTGTGAATGACCCCAGAGTAAAAGATATTAAAATTAAAAAATACTGGCGTGATTAAAAAACGATGACTATTAACAATGCACGCACCTATATCAAACCCACAACTCACCACATGGTACCTTGTGCTAATTGTTAACGATAATCATTCAAGAAAACAATCGAGGAATTACTGGCAGAGCTTATGTTGTGATCGTGTATTAATTGTTGTAGCAACAAATGTTTTACAGCAATAGAAACACAAAACAAAGCCTTCTATCAATTCGAATAAGTGACGAATAGTGAAGTCGCAAATGTATCCGTATCGATATTCGTTACTTTTCGGGCTAAGGTTTAAGGTGAGGAAATTTCACCACGCGTAAAACTTATTATTTATTACGTGTGATCATTTACTTAATTAACACCAATATTCCTGAGTTGAAATCTATTAACAATTAAAATCTCATATATTTACTATTATACTAACGAGAACAACAAATAAAGCTCTATTCTTACTGAGCTAACCTAACGCTAGCTAGCTAACCTTTTTCTAAGTTATAGTTTCCACATTCCAATTATTATCAATTTTCTATAAAATAAACATTTTAACCCCATAAACATCAGACGACAAAAACAAGTATCGGGATACCGAATGTGAGAAGCCTGATTTGTACTTATGTATCCGCATCAGCGGTCCTATTGTAACGAAGCGCCCCATCCCTAACAAACACCTTTGTTTCAGGTCGACAATGGATCTAAATAATTTAACGCTCCTTCTAAACATCAGTTTATTTGTGATGAGAGAAGCATCTGGTGAGAATGGAACTACAACAGTGACTGTTAAGAACAAAAGCGTCAACGCGTACGAATGGCGTTTTGTGTTGCCGCCCTATTTTATAATTTTCCTGCTGTCGATCTTCGGCAACTGCCTCGTGATAGCTACGCTGGCTAGCAACAGACGAATGAGGACAGTCACTAATGTGTATCTCTTGAATTTGGTGAGTGGACGCTTGACGTAATCAGAAGAAATTGAATTTGCGGTATGAATAAAATATAGCACGTAATTCTCTTGTAATACAGGCTTTTTTTGGACGTGACCTGTATAATGTGGACCTATACATAAAATCATTCTTGATCTATTTATCAATCGAAAGATAAAATAGAAAGATTTATCAAAATATGTACATTACAAGAATAACAAATATAGCGTAGAAATGACAACACAAAATAAATTTATCCTTAATACGTATACAAATAGTGTAAAAGTTGTATTAATTAGTGTTGGATATTGAATTGTCTTGAATTGAATCTAGACCAGTTTGTAAAATGTATTAAGAAGCTCAATTGATACTGGTGCAAAAACTAATTTTAAAAAGTCAACAGAGTACTTGTAAGTCATTATATAAACGCCAGCACCCCATTGTCGAGTTCTAGAAGAGTCAAAAGTAGAGAAATATACCTACACAGTACCTAACAGTTGTTTCGATCAGCCTTAACCTCCTATAATTAGTTTAGTAACAATAGCACCGTAGCATTACTTTTTATTTTATCTTTTGTCAAAACGTCGGTTTTACCTCGCTTCATATAGTTATGAATGACCGAAATTAATAGTGTAGAGGCGGTTTAAAGCTTTATTGATCTCCCATGACAAAAGTAAATGAAGGTCGCTTATAAGCCTTCTTTTATGGCGTGTTTTGTGAAAAATGGCTTGCAATGATCGTAAAACATTTTGGGATCTATACATTTTTCATTAGCCACAAGATATTGTGCGTGTGGCTTGAAATATTTTAAGAGAGACTTTTCTAGACAAACCGGCATGAGGTCGGCACTATTAATATTTTATTAATAGAATCTTAGATGCTTTTGGATGAAATTAAATTAAGAATCGATTTTGGATTGAAACATTTAACGACACGAGCTGGGTTTGAACCACCATCCACAGCGTTCAATGCTGTTGGTCTAACTAATTGAGCTAACGAGTCCTACACGTCATCATCAATTTTTTTCAACCTATTGACACATGCACCTCTCGCGCAATGTAATCTAAAATCGATTTTTGATTTATATAACGCCATCATGCGCAAAGATAACGTTAAACTCTGTAAGTTTAAAAGCATGGAATGCTGTAAATGCCGGTTCAAGTCCCGCCATCATGTAGAATAAAATATTTCAATTTTCATAATCGTTAATTTAATAGTTTTCTTAACATAAATTCGATATTTCAAGCCTTTTTCAAAAATAAAAATTTCAAAAGTAAACAACTTAATGGAATAAGTAATTTTAGAATTTCTTATTCCATTAAGCATTGAAATATCGCTTGTTTTATAGGCAATATCTGACTTCTTGCTGGGAGTGTTTTGCCTGCCATTTACCCTCGTCGGGCAGATTTATAGAAGATTTCTCTTCGGCGCTACGCTGTGCAAATTAATACCCTTTCTACAAGGTAAGATTACGTCAAACAGGCGCTAATTTATTATAACAACTACGCGACTAGTACGCATTTAATTAAAACACTTTAACGATTTAAAACGCAATAAATATTAGTTAAACTTATTTAAAAAATATTGTAACTACGGCCAGACTTTTCCCCGTGACCACGGCTGCCGCAAAGCATCCGATACGTTGTCATATAGCATTTTAAACCATTAAAGTGTTTTATTTAAACTACAGTAAATTTTCGTACTGTTTTTCAAATTAATTCAAATATTCTTTTTTTAATTATTTAAAGGAATTTAGGGGTACATAGCACACACAATAATACCACTAACTAATGAATGAACTTCGACGAAAAGCATGCCTACGCGCTTTGGTCGTGGTTTCGAACCGGACCAGGATCATGTTGGATATCTAATTTTTCAATTTATAAGTTTTCTGAAACACGCTAAACTTCGTCTGGAAATCTGGATATTAAATAAGTGGTAGGCAATAGAAATTCCGTCCGGCCCACGAACTACTGTCCATAGGTGAAAATTACGTCAAGCTTAATCGCGTTTCGGTTTCAGTCTGTGGGTTTCGAATGTCCAAAGCCAAAATAGGTCGACAGTGCATCCTCTTTAGATGCTTTAGGCCTATTATCAAGTGAACCTCATGCCATGTCTGTCCCTCTTGTGATTAAAAAAAAGTTTTACGAGACCTTAAAAATGAACAAACTGATTCGAGTTTTATTTTATAGGATTTTAATTATTACTTTAAATATATAAGTCTTTTGCGACCGTTTTAACTTAATTGAAACATCAAAAGTTATGTAATAATTAAGCGACTTGAGTATTCGAGCTTTTCGACCATCGTCAGAAATTATTTTCCTCGTTTCTCCATAACTAGTGGATGACACAAAAGACGTTATTTTTTATGATAGAGGATAGACAAGCAGTTGACGGTAGGTAAAATAGCCCAGCCATATAACATCTAAGCATGATGCCAATCAATCTAGTTTGGCTTTGGATTCGGAAATCCACAGATTGAAACTGCAACATAATTAAAAATCGTGGCTTTTTCATCTGTGGACGGTGGTTTGTTACCCGGCCAACATTTTGGTAGTCCTACCACGCTTTTAATATCCAGTTTTCCAAACGAAGTTCAACATGCTATAGAAATATTTAACCCAGTGAGAACCCACGACCTGTTGACTAAGCCTTGCTCTTACGAGCCCGTTCATTCGCGTTCCTCTACTAAGCGAAGACTTATACGTAAAAGACATCAAAAACCGTCTCACTAACACTACGCTCTAACACTTGAAACTCAAATAACTCAGATATAGGATATGTTCATAAACTTTTAATCCCAAGTCTTAGTTTTCAATACATACAGTGCTTCCACTCTTTATGCATATTTTGATCTGATCATGCGTGAACTGTATTCTTGGATTCACATAAAACTAGGTTCTTCCGGATTCAAATCTTTGCCAAAGAAGGAAAATTTACGCCTTTATGGTAATTTATTTATAGCAATCGTAAAGTTTAGCGAGAAAAATTTATGACAGAGTAGGACAGACTTGGTTAAATACTCACAAGCTGAAACCTAAACACATTTACGCTTTTTGACTTTTCCATTTGTAGATGGAATATATAGGACCCACAAGAGCGGAAAGGGTGTTTTAACTTGTACGTAATGTGCATGTCTACTTTGAATATAAATTTACGAACAATATGGTTCTTGTAATTGTATTAATGTAATTGTATGACAAAATGTTTTCCATATTTTTAAGTTTAATTTCTTATTATTTAAATACTTAACATATAATTACTTTAAAAGAAGAAACCCCTTTTTCCTTTTTTTTTTCCGAAAGGCCCGGGGAGGGGCGGGGCCCCCCCCGGGGGGGGGAGCCCGGGGGGGGGGGGCCCCCCCCCCCAAAAAAAAAAACCCCCCTTTTGGGGGGAAAAAAAAATTTTGTTTTTTTTTTTTTTTTTTTTAAAAAAAACACCCCTTAAAAAAAAAAAATTTTTTTTTGTAAGTGTTAAATTAATAGATAACATTCTTGTAAATTGTTAGAGTGTTCTCCAAGAAATCATATTGCAATAAACTTTGACATTTAAAAGTCATACTAAATATTTCTAGCTCGCGAGGCCAACATAAACTTTTACCAAATGTTTGACAATGCGGGAATCAGTGTGCATAGTGGCCCAGAGTAAAAAGCTCGATATTGCTCTACCTAACACAAAATTAATTTTTCAATTCGAACCAGTAGTTTCTGAGATTAGCGCGTTCAAACAAACAGCTTTATAGATTAGTATGCATATAGATCATGTTTTTGTAATTAGGTCACTCAGCCTGTAGCAGCCCCATTTGTGGCCTGAAACGAGAATTATCTTTCAAAATAAACATATTAATAAAGAAATTGCACATTTGAAATGATTACTTCCGTGGCTCGAATTCAACTCACGACCTGCCATTAATTAACGGTTATTAGTGACCATACCAACGCCGTCCAATAACACCTAGACTTTTCTGGGCGAGAGAAATATTAAACGATTAATCTTGCTAGTCGACCATCTATCATCATTCGCGATGAGCAGAATATTTATATTGTTACAATATTATTAACTGGCTGTGCCAGCGACTTCGTCCGCTAAGAATCTTTATTTTGGGCATCCAAATTCGTTTTTGCCTTTATCTTTATAAACATAAGCTGTTACCCACGACGACGGTCGCGTCCCTTTCTGTCCTTCTTGCAAGTTAATCTCAAAAGAGAGACATATAGAAATCATTCTTTATTTGCGGTATCGTGAACCGTTTTGACATCGTACGCCTCGGAAACCCATAATGATCAAAATATCCCATTTTTTTTCACATTTCTCGCTGTATCTTCGCTTGTATTTGCCACAGGGCGAATTTTTATAGCCTTCCTCAATAAATGCTCTAACCAACACAAGAATAATTTTTTAATTCAAACCCGTAGTTTCTGAGATCAGCGCGTTTAAACAAACAAACAAACTCATCTTCTATATATATTAGTATAGATAGGCGCTATGAAATATCTAATAAGCATTGTATTTTAATAGTTTAATTATTTAACAACGAACAAGTTTATTATTGATTTAAAAAAACAAAAAAATAAATGTCCCCGACAGTTTTCTACATATACATTTTAGGAGTATCTCGCATAGGTACTCTTGTAAAAGACAGAAAGTAGAGTGTAAACTTTATAAATGATGTTGGCAAAATTAAATATAATAAAATAACTTTTCCACGCAGGCGAAGTTGCGAGGCTCTATCATAAAACTTGTAATTTTCCCATATTATGTCACCGCTAAACTTAATGTTTCATAGGATCGTAAAGTAAAGAATGAAATAAAAGGACGATTTCCAAATAACGATTCATAAAATTTGTGTTGTAATTATCTACACTATTCATTTTATATGTAGGCACTTAGTAACTACAGCCTGACGTTAGACGACTTGGTTTGGTTAATTCTGAGATGTCATCAAAACATTTTGTGCTTGCACACGTGTGCGGGTTTGTAAACCGCCCCCCCCCCCCAAAAATGGGTGGGTAAAAAACCCGGTTTTTTGTTGAAAAAAATATTCCAATTTTTTCAACCCAAACCCCCCCCACTTTTTTTTTTTTTTTTTTTTTTTTTTGGGGTTTTTTTTTTTTTTTTTTTTTTTTTTTTTTTTTTTTTTTTTTTTTTTTACTTTAAACAAAGAGATTTGAAGGGAATTTATAATTAACAAGTCGTGGACTCGATCCCCTACCGTGTCCATGTTGGACTTCGTCTGCAAATCTGGTTATTAAATGGCTGGAAAGAATATCGAAATTCCCACCGGGTCATAAAAACTACCGTCCACGAATAACAAAAGCCGTGTAGTTAAATCGCGTTTAGGTTTCAGTTTCTGGATTTCCGATTATACAAAGCCACAATAGGACGACAGCGCATCTTGTTGAGTGGTTTAGGACTATCTTTCCATCTCCATTATAAAAATATAATACTACTCAGTTTCATTTTGGACGTAAGGTCTCCCAAAGCATGCAATTTAGCCTTCTCTGAACTCCATTCATCCATAAATGCTGTTTGACGTTCTATATTGACGTTTCTTATCAGCTCCAAATACCGTAAGCCCTCAGAGAGAGCTAGTTTGTCGCCACGTCAACCGACTATGAATATACGATGTATGGATAATTGTATTAGTTAGTAATATGTGCATACAACACATTTGTTGTACATTTCTTTAACGAGTTCAAGTAAATACTTAACTTTACTTAAACCTCACGAACTTCAAATAACTTAGTAATATAAGTACCTAAAATGTTTAAATTAAACACTTTAACAATTTGAAACGCGATTTATATTAAGTAGTTAAACAAATTTGGAAATTGCTTACAATATGTTTAACAGGGTTGCTTAAAATATGTTTTCTTGAACTTAGGTTAACAATTACACAAGATGCTCTGTCGATCCATTTTGGCTTTGGATATTCGGAAAACCCCAGACCGCCTTTTCAAAAGGGGGAAAAAAATAATGTTTGGCCCGGCAAAACCCAAACACCCTTTTAAAAAAAAAAAAAACAATTTCAAAAATTTTTTTTTTTTTTTTTTTTTTTTTTTTTTTTTAAAGGGGGGGGGTTTTTTTTTTTTTTCCCCCCCCCCCCCCCAAAAAAGGGGGTTAGTTTGAAATTATTTTTGTGTTGATTAGAGCATTTAACGAGAAAGGTTAACAAAAAACGGCTGTAAAACATCGTCCTGTTACTAATAGAAACGAAGATACAGTGACAAAAATCATTGTGGGTTTCCGAGGCGTACGCTGAAAAAACTGTTCCGTTAGTTACAAGATACCCAAAACATACGTATAAAAGAATGATTCCTCTTTAAATGATCTAAAAAAAAGGCCGCGATGCTATATGTCTATCTTTTAAGATTATCTTGCAAGAACGAAGGTTAGGGACGCGACCGACATCGTGGGTAAAGGCGCGGACAAAGTCGCTGACACAGCTTGTATATAATATGTA